CCTATGCTCTTTTGTGAACACGAAGATTGTAAATCTCCCTCCTCTCAACACAAAACTAGAGAAGTTAAAAAAAAGGCAAAACAAAAGACCAAACCAGGCTGCTGAATTTCAGGGGCAGTAACTGTCCTATCAACTCTAACCCCGCCCAATGAACATCAAACGACACTGAGATTAGAATTTTGAGAGTGTATCCGGGATAGGAATTTAGTCAACGACAGCCCTGTCTTTGATGGGGGTTTCCATCTTTCTAGTTAAAAAAAAAGGAAAATGTTAAGTTTATGAGCGTCCGTGAATGCCAATGCTGAGCATTGAAACAACATAGAAGTTCTCTTTCTTTTCGGCATCTTCACAGAATTCTCCCTGACTGCATTATGGGCAGTGAACCGCTAGACGTTACCCGTCTCGTCCTTCTCTCTCTCTCTCTCTCTCTCTCTCTCTCTCTCTCTCTCTCTCTCTCTCTCTCTCTCTCTCTCTCTCTCTCTCTCTCTCTCTCTTTCTTTCTCCCTCTCTCTCTTTCTCTCCCCCCCTCTCTCTCTCCTACTCTCTCTCTCCTCTCTCTCTCCCACACTTTCTCTCTCTCTTTCTTTCTCTCTCTCTCTCTCTCTCTCTCTCTCTCTCTCTCTCTCTCTCTCTCTCTCTCTTTCTTTCTCCCTCTCTCTGTTTCTCTCCCCCCTCTCTCTCTCCTACTCTCTCTCCCCTCTCTCTCTCCCACACTTTCTCTCTCTCTCTTTCTTTCTCTCTCTCTCTCTCTCGCTCTCTCTCTCTCTCTCTCTCTCTTCTTGTCCCCTATATATATATATATATATATATATATATATATATATATATATATATATATATATATATATATACCAGACAAGGTTTTTCTTAATGAAACGATAAAATTGTTGAATTATTCCCCCACCCCCTTACACGCACAAAGACAACAGCACTATACATAAATAAAGAGAAGTAAGCCTACATAGTAATATCAGATACAGCACGGACTCAAATCGAGAGCAACAAGGTGTTGGTAGCATTAAGTACTAAATTGGTAACTGCAGCAGCATCTCGATCTAGTCATATTTTCTCTAATTCTTAAAAATTCCTAGTTCTGTTTCCTAACAACTCAATAAAACGTTCTTTCCAAAAAAACAATAATCATTTCAAAAGGGAGATAAGCCTCAACACGCCTATCCGCCATAACGCCCTGACATTAAAGAGGGAGTTACCCTCCACGCTTACCTGAGTAGCACGGCAGCATTGAATACTAACAACGCATAAGACCTCGTCAAAATAGAGTCTTGAAACTTTAACGGATATTAAAACTATGTTCAGCCGAGCTGAGAATTGAAATTAATGTCACATTCACGTAAGTTCCCGTCGTTGTTTTCCGCAACATGAAACAGCTCATGCACTCTTGCGTAAAAAAAGAAAAGATTTTAGTTGGCTTGACACACTCAGTCACTTATTATTTAAATTTACATCCGGTGAGGTTATAACTTTCCTTGTTAAGAAAATAAAACAAAGGCGGGGAAAAAAAGAAGAAAAACACGGCTCAAAACATTAAAAAACTCTCAGTTGTTTCTTCGTATTCAAGAAGCAGCTGCTATATTTACACAAACATTGAGTTCTCTTTCTTTGAACATGCATGTTTAGAAGTAAAAACAACAACATAAAGAATTACAAGGACCCAAAAATATATGTAGAAAAGAGAGGGAACTAAAGAAAGAGAAGAAGAAGGAGAACAATGGGGAGAAGGTGAGGAGAAAAGAGAAGACGGAGATCAACAGCAAAATGAGTAAAAATGAATCGTCGTTATCATCAATGAGAACATAAACAACCGCAACAAAAAACCCAACCCAACAACAACAGCAGCAACATAACAATAGACAACAACAAAAATAACAGCAATACAACAACAACCACAATAACAACGGTAGCAACATAACAACATCAACGACAACAACACCAAAGTACAAAAAACCCACACAGCCTTGTAAACCAACTGACTTGCACACCCCCTTCACCCGAGTTTCACCTCTAGCACCTCTGCGATGTACCTTAACATATGACCGCAGTTCCCTTTCACCCTGTGACCAGAAGCGCCCAGCCTAACATTCCCCAGCCAGTGCGTCCCAAGTCCCTTCCACGATCTCCCCAACAACAGTCTGTTGCGGAAACATTCTGGGGAGGCGCCACCTCTCAATGGCGCGACTAGTCAGTCACTCGATTCATCAAGTCTTCCTACGGTCTCTGCAAGAAAGCATCTGAACAGCCTTGCTTTGTTTGTCAACTGGAAGACCTTCAGTTAGGGGGAGGGATGGAGGTGTGTATGATGTTTCAAAAAATGTGCGCCCGTATATGAAAGTGTGTGTATGTCTTAGAGACATACTGGGGGAGAGAGAGAGAAAGAGAGAGAGAGAGAGAGAGAGAGAGGAGGGGGGGGGGGAAGATATAGACAGACAGACAGATAGAACGGCAGGCAGACAGACAGATAGACAAATAGACAGATAGACAGACATAAAATGAAGGAGTAAGCGAGAGACAGGGAGAAGAAAAAGGAGAAAGAGAAGGAGGTTTTTTTTAAAAGGAAAAGAAAGAAAGAGACAAAAGGAAAGAGAGCGAGAGAGAGAGAGAGAGAGAGAGAGAGAGAGAGAGAGAGAGAGAGAGAGAGAGAGATTTTATTTTTTTGTGAGGATGCAGGGGGGGGGGAACAAAATGGAATAAGGCTAGTCAAAAGAATCACCTGTAACAGCAAGAAAGGATGAGGATATGTGAGTGTGGGACTGAGTGAACGTGGAGAATGTGCATGTGTATGTTTGTGTGCGGGGGGGGAGGGGGGGTGGAGGGAGGGAGAGGTTTAGGGTGAGGGGGGAGGATCGGAGAGGGTGTTTGTGACGCCAACAAAATGATGAACCGATTAACACTCAACCGTGGCTGCGTCCTGATCCTTGAAGACAGTAACAAATGGTGGCCATGGGAATCCCAGATGACCACTGCCTCGTTTGTTAAGTGATTCGTGCAGGTCAGTCTACGAACAGACAGCGATGAAGGAGGAAGGAGGTGTGGCTTGTTTTGTATTCACTGCTGCTGAGACCGCAGTCGTTAAGTACACGTTCAAGTTCTCAGTACTTAGACTGAAATGACTCTCCGCTTTACACCAACCAACCCCTTTGGCTGACCAGTTTTTTAGCAAGTTTCGCTCTCTTTTTCTACGATTATCTCAATGGAGATACAAGAAAAGCGAAACAATTAGCCTACAGCAGGCTCATATAGAACGTAAATGATTTCAATATCAAACCCCAACACACACGTACACCAAAAAACCACACACACACATATGCACATACAGAAATAGACGCACACACACATATACATGTACACACACCCACACAAACACACACACACACACACACACACACACACACACACACACACACACGTGCGCGCATACAACAACACACTCACACAAACAAACACCCAGTTGTCTTCCTCACTTATTCCTAAACCGAGTTTTCAAACTCCAACCACCCAGCCTGAAGTAGCAGATGCACTCAAAGTGCCTACTCCCTGTCACAACCAGCTACCAATTTACTCAACTCATCTCTGCACCTTCTCCCATTCATTTCCCAGATTTACAGCTGCCCTGCTTCCAGGCTGCGTGTACTTAAACATCCACTTTTACGATGCAAAATACTTAACTCCAACAGAAAAGAACACCTACAATTTTCGTGCAACAAATTCAGCATCGTTTGGTCCTCTTTCTAGAAAATACTAAAATCTGCTCATGTCTGTACCACATCCTTCAGGGACATAGAATAATGCAATTGTCTTATAACTAAAAAAAGCCAAAGTCTGCATAAACGAGAGGGAACTGAAAACAGCTTAATTGGATTTTCCCCAGTTATCCACTTTCCGGGCGGGCGGGAGAGAAAGCTCTTGAAAAAGACGAGGAACGCCACCCCGAACGTTTGGCGTAAGTTGGTGCTTTTTCGACGGCCAACGCGCAGAATGGAGTTGAACAATAAACTAAGAGGTAAGCACGGAAATTGTCCAAGTCATTGAGGAAGATTAGGAACAGCTGTCGCCATTTTCTCACACACATGTTCCATCATTTCATTATTCTATTTCCAGAACTCTCTTGTGTTAATACACTGTTTCAGACCCATCCACCTTTCTCCCTCAAAATCCTTCTTCATTATTTCTTTTTGTTCCCACTCACCCACCTTACAATTTCCTTTCTATCTGTCTTCCGCTTCCTTCTTCTGTCTTTATTAGTTTGATTTTTCCCGAATTAATTCTTCCTTGTTTTATTTGTTTCGTTTATGTATGTTTTCATCATTTTTATATTTTAGTTGTTTTGTCTTTTTTATTAGTTTGCTTGTGTAATGGTTTGTTGTTTGTTTGTTGTCTGTTTCTAATAACCTTTCCACTCTATGTCTCTTTCCTCATGGTTCTCATTCTTCCTCCCTGACCCTTCCTACACCCCCTCATTCCTCCATGTTTGCTAATTTTTATTGCCTTCTTAGTTGCCCCCTCTCCCGCTTCCTCCCTTAATCCCCTCTTACGCACCTCCCCATTCCCACACACATCCACGCCTCTATATCTCCCTTTCATTCTATCCTTTCCTAAATCTATTTTCTGCTACATTCACACTCAATACCTAACCTACTCATTCCTTCCTGGTTTCTCTTTCTTTATCAATCAGTCTAGACATATAGAAGTTAAACAAGTACTTTGAGAACGATAAGAGATCTTTCTTTCCAACTACAGCCTCCTACTTACTCCATTATTACAGAACAATGAAAACGAACATGCACATACATTCATTCATTCCTTCCTTCCTTCATTTATTTATTCATTTATTTATTTATTTAGTTATTTAGTTATTTGTTTGTTTATTTGTTTGTTTATTTATTTATTTAATTTATTTATTCATTCATTGATTTTTTAATTCATTGATTTATTGATTTATATATTGATTCATTATTTTTTAATTATCTATTTATGTCACTCACCATTCTGCTTGCGTGAGCACCAGCCTTTGCTGCTGAGGATGTGTCCGTCCTCTGGCTGGCAGGAGCTGCCTCTCTTGAAGCGTTTGGCGGAGGAGGCGGAGATACGGCCGTAGGGCGGGAGTCCAAGCGGTTCCTTGCACACTGAGGACGACAGCACAAAGCGCGGTTAGCCCAGCTTTGACCAATACGACCGGGAACAATGAATAATTTTCCATAAATCTGTACATTAGTATTATCTCTTTCCAACTGTGTCCCTTCCTTTGTTTATGTCTATGTCTGTCTGTCTCTCTGTCTGTATGTCATCGGTCTGTCTATCTGTCTGTATGTCGTTTCTCTTTCTTTTTCTGTCTGTCTGCCTCTCTCTCTCTCTCTCTCTCTCTCTCTCTCTCTCTCTCTCTCTCTTTCTCTCTCTCTTTCAATCTCTCTCAATCTCTCTCAATCTCTCTCAATCTCTCTCAATCTCTCTCAATCTCTCTCAATCTCTCTGTCTTTCCACAGTGCTTCCCATTCCAGATTAAACATTCCAAAATTCAAGATTGAGAGCGAGGGTGAGAGTGAGTGAGATAGAGAGAGAAAGAGAGAGAGAGAGAGAGAGAGAGAGAGAGAGAGAGAGAGAGAGAGAGGAGGGGGGTAAGAAAGAGGGAGTGGGGGAAACAAGAGAGAGAGTGAGATATAGAGAGACAGAGAGACAGAGCGACAGAGAGAGAGAGAGAGAGAGAGAGACAGAGAGAGACAGAGAGAGATAAAGAGAGACAGAAAGAGACAGAGAGGGGCGAAGGGACAGTTTGGAAGAGACCATGTCCCTAAGAAGAAGAGGATAATATATTATAAATATTTTTTAAGCGAGGGGGAGGGGGGGTGAAGGTGGGAGAGAATATACGAGAGCACTGGCCTCTTGGGAACCTTCTCACTTCGACTAAGCACGTTAATTCATGGTTTACTTTCGTATGGTTCGCTGTTTTTGCATATCTCCTGAACGCTCACACGACATGTACCATTACATCATCAGACACGAGCCAGCGATTTACATACCCAATAGAAGGCAAACGAGTCAGGAGTAGACCCAGAGCAACTTACATTGAAAACCCAGGAAAAACATGAAAATTTGTCATAACTAATAACTCTTTATCGTTTTCATCTTTATGTTATGCTTATGCGCTGATCCTGTAAATGAAAACATGGCGTCGCGCACGATAAGGGGGCGTGGTTACGCCAAGGGGGCGTGTTTTCGCGTTCTCTAGTCCTTTGTAACTGAGCCAAGAACGCGTGAAGGCGACGGGTCTGGTATTATCTGTGGGACCTCCCCCTACTTTTGAAAGCTCGCATGAGTTGACGTAGATCTTGTTTTACAGCTTTTTAAAGGACTCTTAGGCTTAGATTTTTTAGATAATGTACAGCAAATCGTTTGGCATGAGCGTGAATCATGACAATATTATTGTGGAACGACGAGTTCAAGAGAGAGAGAGAGAGAGAGAGAGAGAGAGGGAGAGAGAGAGAGAGAGAGAGAGAATGTGTGTTTATGTGTGTGTGTGAGAGAGAGAGAGAAAGAGAGAGAGAGAGAGAGAGAGAAAGAGAGAGAGACAGAGAGACAGACAGACAGACAGATAGACAGACAGACAAACAGACAGACAGACAGACAGAGAAAGAAAGGGAGAGAGAGACAGACAGACAGACAGACAGACAGATAGACAGACAGACAAACAGACAGACAGACAGACAGAGAAAGAAAGGGAGAGAGAAAGAAAGAGAGAGGGGGAGAGGGAGAGAGAGAGAGAGAGAGAGAGAGAGAGAGAGAGAGAGAGAGAGAGAAAAGAAAGGATGGAATGTCATTTAAGAGGGGGGGGGGCTCCAAATATATCGTCCATATCCGATAGGACCATTGCAAATAGGCACAGTGCCTTAAAAACTCCCCTAAACAGCAAAAGTTCAGAACGTCCCGTCCCGCACTCCAGCAAGGTCCTTGCGCTACGTAGTCTAACTGAGCTAATGGTACGCCCAGAAATTATTCGAGGACGACAAGAAAAGTGAAAAGGAAAGAAAGCTCACAGAAGAACATTTAGTAGACGACGACGAACAAGCTATAAAGGGACACAACTGATTGTAATTTTCCGGAAGAGCCTCTTGTGAGAACAAAGGTTGCGTTTGATGGGGGTGAGTGACCACACCAGAAGTCGCAATGTAAAGAAACGTGTAGCTACAGGAACGGACATTTACTACGCAATGAAAACAAGCACGTCGGACGTCCCGTCTCACTCACTGTTTGTTTACAATCGCTGATACTATGCCTCGATATCCCATAACTTCAGGAGCCGTAGGTATGTATCATCATCATAAAATGCCAGGTCTGAAACAGACATCCGCGATCGTGGATTGCCATTCATTTCTTTGCTTTGCTAGGGTACTCTGAAAAATAACCTGCATTGCCCTGGTCTTTCTCTGTGACCCATCTTTTCAGGTTTTCTAAGTAAGATGCTGTTGGTTTTCCTCTGCCTTGTTTGCCTTTCATTTAAGGGATAGCATTCATTTTCGTGGCTGATGGCATACGAGTAATTATGAAGTCGTGTGAGTTTTTAGGAAATTAGCGAAAACGGATAAGCATTTAAAACATGTCGACATCCCCTTTTGAAGAGTGAGGACTACCCTGGAGCCTGTATCCTCGTAAGGACCCACCCATTCTATCCAATACTTTTTGATGGTGGTCATGATTGTGTGTGTATGGAGGGAGAAGGGCGGAGGAGAAGGATCTGTCCATCAATCACTAGCAAGGTGAAACACTTTTTCTTCCTCAAGCACCTCTTTTTGTATGGAAAGAGGGAGGGTGGATGCTGACATGGAAACCGTTAATCTATCTGAAACTTCACACGTTGTGTCCTCCGTTCACAAAAAACTGCTACAGAATGATTAGCAACAGCAGATAATGTTATGAAGAAAGAGAAGGGTGCGCAGTTGGCATGGGCGACAAGCTAGACATGCTCGAGCTGTGAGGGGCGACAACCGAGCTTAAATAAATGGATTCCTCAAGGGCGGTAACTCGTCTTTTCTGAGACTGCGGACACGACACATGAGGGTGATGAAGTTAGATAACGCAGAACGTTTGTCACTGGCGGTTATTAACCAGACAGCGCCGGAAACTCTCTCAACTGATGCGATGATGATAAATGACTTGGCCGTTGCAGAATTGCGAGCAAGTGTATAGTTTTTACAACAACGAAGACACCGCTTTAGCGTGCACGAAACATGCGGTGCAGTCAAGATTTATTCACAGTCTATACAGAGGACTGTGTCCTGTTGTGACGATACTATCTCCAAGTATTTTTAAAAAGACAGGCAAATTAGCGCATCGACAAAGCAGTGGAGAAAACACTCCGTTTTAAGGAGTTGCAGTTTGTTCTGGATTAAGTTTTAGTTTTAGTACTGGTTTTATGGTACTTAGAACATACATTTTAATAGATCTACGTCCTGTAATTATGGTAAATCAGCGGTGTTACTGTAACTAGAGAGTAACTTACAAAGAAGGAAGACAGAAAAGGACAGTATATTTCTATATGGAAGTATGACAGGAAGAAAGGGAGGAAAGAAAAGCCGTGGACGCCAACGCACACAATTCATAAATAACCTAGATGTTCGGGCAACTAATAACACAATGAGCAACAACTCATTCGTGAGGGCCTGGAAAGAATAAAAAATGTATGGGAAACAATAACTGCGAACGTCTCCAGGGAAGACACTGAATTATGATGATTGGTAAAGTGTACTTACGTTGGCATCCCATAATCTCAACACGCATGCTGGGGTGTCTGTTCCATTGCACTGTGTGGAACTTGATGTAACGGGCGATGATAGGGCGGTCAAGGTAGTTGTGTTTCACCGTGAATGAGTCAATATTACCCTCAAACAGCTGTGGAAAGACAGAGTTATATTTCAGGACATGGTGTTTCTAATTCTAAAGATACAATAGATGAAGCAAGAAACGTGTGTACATAACATGAGCTTGGAAGACAGAGACTTAGTGGTAAGGAAAGATTAGGAGCTTGAAGGAAATATCCGCTGCACTCTTTCAAAACATTATGTATGTGTTTTGTGATCACTTCCTTGTTTTCACTTTATTCGCTCATATGTAGGCTGTCGTGAGTAGCAAGTACTACTAAATCGAAATAAAAATATGGAGTCCAGGGACTTTTGAGACACCATGTATAGGAAATGATCCTTCCATCATTCTTTCCAAAGCACTCAAAAAATGGTAAACAAGAAGACGGGAAGGGGGAAAGGTGGAAAAAAGGGAGTGGGGGAGGGAGAGAAATTGTATCTATATCACAAAGAACGTTAACAGATTCTACTTGTAATGAGGACGCAACAAGTAGGACACCAAAGACTATCAGGAACAAAGAAATTCCGAAATTCTACACATCCCGGCGCACCTACGACAATCCCCAGTTAAAATCTGTTGTTGTGCCAGAGGACTGTGGGTTTATCTTTCTCGGGTGAATTGTTTCTTTGTAAAATTCCAAGTCCCAAGACAACTCAGCAGATGAGTAGGGTGCATCTATCTATCTATCTAACTGTCTGTCTGTCTGTCTGTCTGTCTGTCTGTCTGTCTGTCTGTCTGTCTGTCTGTCTGTCTGTCTGTCTGTCTGTCTGTCTGTCTGTCTGTCTGTCTGTCTGTCTGTCTGTCTGTCTGTCCCCCTCTATTTCCCAAAAACCCCTATAATTCTCCTCTCCCCTCTATTTCCCAAACCACATACCCACAAAATACATATTAAACATACATAAACATACCCACAAAATACATATACAATCAAAATTAAAAATAAAGACCAACACACACACACACACACACACACACACACACAAACACACATACACACACACACACACACACACACATACACACACACACACACACAAAATCTAGTTTCATACGATTCGTCTCGTAAAACCAGCCATGCCCTGCACATCGTCAGAATGGTTCAAGAGGTCTTTTCGGGACACAAAAGAACTAACGCCGTCTAATCTTCTCGAAAGAGTTCTCAGCGTGACGTAAAATGAGGGAGGGCTCAGCCCAACACTCAACACTGAAGGATTATCTACGTCATCGAGAAAACGTTTTATAACCTAACGAGAACATAACAGTAAAACAATCCCTTTCTCCTTTGATAAATTCTGCTTTGTATTGCGGTTTACTTTCATGTACACATTTCCCGGGGTATTATGATGTGTACAAAGCAAAATAAGCATAAAACCAAGAAACAGTGCAAACAAAATTCCTGCTAACAAGGAAAGTACTTTACGACAAAGGAAAGCATATACTTTCACGGTATTGGGAAATTCTGCAAAGTCTTGTAGGCCTACTTACGAGTATCAAAAGAAAGCAAATTTTCAAAACAATTAGTATTCTTCTCTATGCTTTATGCGGCACAGACTTTTCATTCTTCGGTTAATATACTTTTGTTCTTATGCTGAGGATTTAAGCTCTATCAACTTGTCTACATAAGTAGTCTGTGGTAGCATTAAATTTTACTAGGATCTATTTTGTATGTACACCGTATGGTACAAGCATTAAGGTTTCCTATTCACTAGTCTGTTATTTAATTTATTCTTCTCCCCACACCACAGTCACACTGTAGCCATTTTCACGACTGTAAAATGACTATCAAGGAGCGATAAAAAGTAACGTATGTTTCTTACTTCCCATTGTCTCGTTTTAGCCGTGGCCTTTCAAACGTTCTTTTTCCGTTTCTGCTTCTTTTTATCTATTTCCCAGAAACCCTTCAACTGTATATGTAAAATAAAGAGATACGTCTTCTTAAACCAGGCCATTATCCGCTTTTTTTCACTAATGTTCCTGCTTGTAAACACCGAACCGAAACAGACTTATGGTAATTATCTTTTTTTGTTGTTAAGAAAGAAAGTTAGGTGTTCTAGAATGTGGTAAGTACTCACACTTTGGAAGGGTTTTATGGGGTGAAGAAAACAGGCCGGTAAATTACAAAACAAAAATATTGTCTTTAAAAGAGAAGGTGACAGGAAAAAGGCAAGACTGCAAAGAGAATTAGAAAAAAGGGGGAGAGAGAGAAAGAGAGAGAGAGAGAGAGTGTGTGTGTGTGTGTGTGTGTGTGTGTGTGTGTGTGTGTGTGTGTGTGTGTATGTGTGTGTGTGTGTGTGTGAGAGAGAGAGAGAGAGAGAGACAGAGAGACAGAGAGACAGAGAGAGACAGAGACAGAAACAGAGACAGAGACAGAGAGAGATAGACGATTAGACAGGCTGACTGACAGACAGACAGACAGACAGACAGACAGACAGACAGACAGACAGACAGACACACAGACAGACAGACAGACACACAGACAGACAGACACACAGACACACAGACAGACAGACCGATTGACTATGCCAAGACCAAAAGGTCACAGTTCTCTTTGTGATGTTAATAAACAGTGTCATTTTCATTATCTGCCAAATTTCCGAAATATCCTCCAACATAGAATAGCATATCTCATTACCGGCTCTGATATCAAAACATGAGTCAGTCATAGAACTGCGGAAAACCTCGATGTCGATTGTTCCGGATAAATTGGTGTCTTTTTAAAGATAAATGATCTTGGAATCCTGTCTAATTCTTTATTCTTGATACCCGCTGTGACCGCCAAATCCCGGCCGAGATCTGTGTCAACACAACGGTACCAATGTTTTCTACCAGCATATCCAATGATTATCACCCAGCTTTTTTCGAATGCGTTTAATTTAATTTCGGTATAGCTCTTCACGGGGGAAAACAGTCGTGAAAGAACTTCTAGCCCTGGAGGCTACATCTCAACTTTAAGGGCTGTTCACAATTCAGATCGGACGGTGTCGAACAAAGGGTAGAGTGGGGAAGAGCACACGTCGGATGACGACCTCCCTCGGATTCCTCCCTACCTGTCTTCAAACCTAGCCTAGCGCAAGAGTTGAAATGTAATGTGAGTGTCTTATTAAAATAACTCGAGCGTAGGATGAGCAGACTTATGTTAGAACGACATCCGCGGAGAATTTGGCCTCAAGTAGATGGCACCCCCTCAGAGCTTTGGAAAAGAGGTAAAATACTTGAAATGCTTCGGGGTTTAGAATTTCGATCTGTAGCGTGTTGGCCGCCAAATCTGAAGCGTCTTTCCGACTATAAATAGATCATAAATAGATCATAAAGAGCTGCGTACTTGAACTACGTAAGATAGCGCCACATTGAGAGAGGAATTACTCAAGCAAGTCATGAGAATGTTGCAGCGCTCTTGTTCTTTTGTAGGATATGCAAATGAGTGTGCAACGGAGACGGCCATAGACGTTTTCCTAAAGTCCTTCACGTGAGTGTGAACGTGGTGTTAGAGGAGAGATTACCACTGCTCTGTTGTCTCCAACAGGGCAACGAGCAGTTCGTACGTGTCTTTTGATTTATCACTAGAGGACTTTGAGACTTATCTGGAAACTGAGGGAAAGGGTTTATGAACGAAAGAGAAGGGATGTGGATAGGTACATAATGTGTGGGGACAGGTATATATTTGGGGAGGCGAGAGAGATCGAGAGAGAGAGAGAGAGAGCGAGAGAGAGAGAGAGAGAGAGAGAGAGTGAAGGAGAGAGAGAGGGGGGGGAGTGTGAGAGTCAGTCAGACAGACTGATAGAGATACACACACAGCAACAGACAGACGAACAGACAGAAAGGTAGACAGACAAACAAAAAGACAGACAGAAAGACAGACTTTATAATAGTCAGACGGATATAAAGACAGACAGACAGACAGACAGACAGACAGACAGACAGACAGACAGACAGACAGACAGACAGACAGACAGACAGTTAGACAGACAGACCGACAGACAGACAATCAGACAGATAGACTGTATAACAGTCAGAAAAACATAATAAAGACAGACAGGTAAACAGACACACAGACACAGAGTCAGAGAGGTGTTACAGACAGGAGAAAGAAATGCCAGTGACAACTTCACAGCTGTAGAGCTCTCCCTCAAGCCACTCACCCATTGGTTGCCGTAGTTATCCGTGACGTAGTTCCAGTGGTAGGCATCCATACTGTAAGACACCATGAACCTGGTCACCCACTCTGTTCCGTCACCGCGTCCTTGGGTCATTACGCCAGTCACCTGGAGGTACAAATAAGAGGTTTTTTTCTTCTAATTTTAGTGAGAGTTTTACAGTACTTCCAAACAATTAGGTCAAGTACAAGGTTTAAGAGAACTGATCAGTCCTAGCCTAGCTGATGGGGGCACAATTTTACTTTTAAAACATTTTATTTTCTTATTTTTAAGAAGAAGAAATGTACATACATACATACACACATGGTCACGCACACACATATGCACACACAGCCGCATTTATTCATACACAGACACACATGCATGCACACACAAATATGCCTCATCCAACAATCACTTACATGCATACACACACTCACACACACACACACACACACACACACACACACACACACACCACACACACACGCACGCACACACGCGCACACGCTCACCCACAAATCCACACACATGTTGTATTATGCATGCTTAGATGAATAAAACATCTACTCAAAATGGAAAAATGGATGCACTTATAGGGTAAATTACAAGCAACCGTCAATAGTGAGAGAGAGAGC